TTTGTGATACGAATCTCAGACAATCATGATGCATCGAATGCCGTGGCTTGGAAGTTTGCCAACTGAAGCCCCAACTCAATTTCAATTTCAATTTCAATTTCAATTATTTTATTAAAGACCCGTCGGGGTCCCATCAAAGCAAGTAAAAATAAATTTACATGCAAATTTTAGACGATGTAGGCAAAATCTGCACAAAGTGCAATGCATAGTTTTTGAGATTAGAAGTCCGTTAAGCAAAAAAAAAAAAAAAAAAACGAGGGGTGAAAAAAAACTCCAAAGCAAGATTTAAAAATGATTGTAGTAATTTAACAGGAGAAAAAAAAACCCTCAGAAAAATAGCATCAGAAAAAAAGGGAGGACTGGCCTGCATGTGGCGGTACAAAATGGAATAAAGCCCGACATCAACATGGCCGAAATAGATGTCAGCTGTATGTGGCATTGTGTAACGGATTTCATAAAATGGTACGTAGGCGGGTCGGTCAGGACTGGCCTGTATCGCCTTGAATAAGAAAAATAAGTGCCGAAATTGAAAACCAGTCTCAAGCCGATAGGAACCCAGATGCGGTCAGTTTCATTCAACCGAGTCCATCCGAACATGGGGGGAGATGCGACCAGACTACTAGTATATGGCGAATATAGAAGGCTTTGACAAGACCGCCGATGGAGCGCATTCTGTAAGGGCATGATGACAACCAGTCTCGAGGCGAAAAAAGGCCCCAGATGCGGTCTGTTACATTCATCAGAGTCCATCCGAGGATAGGGCAAAGGAGATGCGACCAGATTACTAGTATATGGCTAATATAGAAGGCTTCGCCAAGAGCATCGATGAAGCGCATTCAGTGAGGGCATCATGAAGATCAGTCTCGAGGCGATAGGAACCCAGATGCGGTCGATTACATTCATCCGAGTCCAACCGAGGATGGGGGAAGGGAGATGCGACCAAACTACTAGTATATGGCGAATACAGAAGGTTTCGCCAAGAGCGTCGATGGCGTGCATTCTGTGAGGGCACGATGCATGAGCTCAGCATGATGAGCATGATGCTCAGCCCTCACAGTCGGCCCAGCTGTGTGTTTGTAGGTTGAGAGGCGGACTCGTGGGCTGGGGGTCAGGCAGCAGTGGCATTTCTTAGTTTGACCTTTATGACAATCCCGCTTCGGGGAATCTGAGCCGGGCACAGCGGCACGTCTAGAGGCAGCTCCGTTCGCGTCAGCCGTCACTCTCATTGTTACTGGACAATATCCTGGCCAAGTGTTCGTTGTAAGCCAGGGGGTGCCGTGATACGTCAAGGTGCGAGTTTGAGCCGTGCGAACTACCTGTGCCCTCTACCGCCTCTGGTCTTCTTGGCACTGTCTTGACACCGGACTCGTGCGGGGGAGGACGAGAGTGTGCGGTTGATGCAACGCAAGCCTACTATCAATGTTAAAGAAATCATGCATAAGTCACCGAATATGCTCTCACCCTGCTGTGCAACAAATGGCGTACATCGACGGTCCGATTGTCATATTTGTTTCCGAAGTTGTTCAGGCTTGACAACAATGTTACTGAAAAATCAATCATAAAGAGGGAGAAATGAAGTAATTGGTTCGGGCTCAATTGGGAAAGCCGGCGCGATATGATCGGTTTTGTGCTGACAGGAGATTGGTAAATGTAGAGCACATCCTGCTGACTTGTGGGCACAAAAAGCATACCGCGTCCTTTAAGTCTTCGCAGCTACTGTGGTGTTGTTCATTTGTTGCTCCGAGGAGGCATGTTGATGCTGGGCCTCATCGAGAAGCGCGACTGCAGGGTGACAACTCCGACTAGGGAGTTTCGTGATCTGGCCTGTGAGTCCCTCCGGGATCAGAGGTAGAAAATAACTGGGATTTGTTGTTCACGACCAAAAGTTGCTAGATAGTAGAACAAGATCTGCAAAATGGGTAGCATTCCCCTAGCCGATCTGCACGATTTTCTAGTTTGTCGAGTGGTATGCTGGTGTCCAGCATTGTTGGAGCCTGATGCATGCGAGCAGGCAGACTGCCTATCCAAATCTCGTGAAATATCGCGCAAAAAATAAACGCATACGGAGTCTAAGTAGCTAATGGAAGGGGTCCCTGTGTTCGACCTGCGTGAAAAGTTTGCCTAACTTCTGGCTGGCCGATTTAACCACGCACCGAACCATCGCAGCCTAAAGATGGGTATAGGGGTCTTTAGCTGGGATAGGGTTTAGAAAGTCCTTGACATAATTGACGGCATCTAAACGTCGGAAATAAGGAGTTTGCCAAATATTATCGAAACAATTTATTAGGGCAGATTCATGCTGACTGGAAGGAACGAACTGCCTCGAATTCAGATACAGTAACCTTTCCGAAAATCGCGGGACCAGACTTAACTGTATCAGGGTGTAATATCTCGCGAGTTCGGGGAGGGTACGGCCGGTAGATCACTAGATTCCGAGTATAGCTTCCTGTTCTTGGTCAGCGATTCTGAGTCTGAAGTATTCGAGCCTAAGATATCCATTACGCAAGCACTCGCATACAGTCACACAAGTCAGTGAGGGTGTTAAACGACGATTGGAAAATGCAACAGTTTATTGGGTACGAGAGGAAGTATATAACGAAAACTTATTATGTAAACGAGCTCAAAAAGGTTGAACTATAACAAACAACGGAAAAACGGTCATGAGTGAAACCGTTAAGCACTCGGGGGTGTAGGGATACACGTGGAACACGCCGAGGAAAACTGAGGGGAAAAACAATTCAGCAAGCCATGTAAGCGTAACTGTACAATAAAACAGATCAGCGAAAAGTGTTCACGATGGGACTTATCGGGGCGCGGCCGTCGACGATCGTTCACAGGAGATCAGTCCTCACGATCGACCTACAAAAGAGTGGTCGCGATTAAAACAAAAGAGTTTTTGTCCATCAGTTCTGTTGGGGTGTTACATAGCCCCCTCTGAAGATGCAGCACTGTCCTCAGTGCTGTTGGGTATAATGGGGGAGGGTATAGTGACTTCGACTGCAGCTGGGGGGACCTGGTCATATGGGATAATGGGTAGGGAGGCGGGTGTGCAGATGGGTAAACGACCGCGGTAGGGTTTGAGTTTGTTGAAGTTTGTTGTGAAGGGTGGTGCGTGGGGTTAGGAAGCGTCGCGTAAGAGGAAGGTCGTGGGGACGGTGTATCTAGGATGACAAAGGGGCCTTGCCACGGGTAATGAAATTTGGCTGACACTCCTCGCGGAGGTATCGGGTTGTGGTGCATAACCAAGTCGCCGATTTGAGGTGTGGTTCCGGTCGAACGGCGGTCGCACTGTGTTTTCTGGTGGGTTGATGATGCGTCGAGCGTCTCGCCTGCTGCGTTATAGGCGGTCCGAATTGGTTCGCGGAGTTGGGAGGCGTATGTGGTAACAGAAGTGGGGTCGGGTACGTCTAATGGGTGTTGAAGGTCTACTGAAAGACGTAGGTCGCGCCCAGTCTAGAGGTAATGGGGTGTGAAACCGGTGGAGGAGTGGATTGAGTTCCGGTATGCCATTAGGTAGAAGGGTAGTTGTGTGTCCTAGTCATGTTCGTGACTGTCTTTACAAAAAGCGAGAAGGAGGTTATGAAGGGTGCGGTTGGTTCGTTCGACAAAGCCGTTGCCTTCGGGTCGATAGGAAGTTGCTCGGGTTTTGTTGACGTCCAGAGTGCGGCAAACTTCCTATAAGAGTCGTGAGTCGAAATTGCTCACACAGTCGGTGTGGAAGGCTAGGGGGCGCCCGAACGGCAAATCTAGGACCTGTTGACGGCGTTGGCGACGGATGCGGCGTCTTGGCGCAGTAGTGGCACTGCTTCGACCCATTTCGTGAAGTAGTCTATCATCACTAGTATGTATTCATACCCGCGCACAGATATAGGGAGTGGGCCGATAATGTCTAGCCCCACGCGTTCTCCGGGGAAACCCGTGGTCATGGGTTGCATGGGAGCCCGAGTGCTGGCACAGGAGACTTAAAAGATGCGCATGTATCGCAGGACCGGCAGAAGTTGTAGGTGGACGCTCGGAGTTGCGGCCACCAGAACCTCGCGCGTGCCGTTAGTTCAGTGCGCTTCTGCCCACAATGACCCAGCTCGGCATGAAGGTCGGCCAGTACGGATTCGATGAGGCACCCGGATACCACGAGGCGAAGACGTTGGGACGCGGGATCCCGCAGAAACAAAATGTCATTGTCTAACAGGAGGTGTGGCCACTGGTGTAGCAGGATGCGTGCGTTCTGGCTGGATCCTCGCATGTCGGATTCCAGGGGTTTATTGAGGTTGTTCATCAAGTGGTGGTAAATGGTGGAGGTGTCGGCGTCAGTACGCTGTGCATCTGCACAAGTGTGGCGGGTAGTTTCCGACATCGTAATGGCGTTAACGGAAGTCGTATGGTTTTCGGGTTCGGTAGGCAGGGGATCGGGTAGTCGGGAGAGGGCGCCGGCGTTGCCGTGTTTATGCCCAGGCCGGAATTGGCATTCAAAATCGAAATCTTGAAAAAAATTCTTGCCAACGGGCGAGCTGGTCCATAGGGTCTTTAATGGACTGAAGCCACTGCAAGGCCTTATGATCAAAGTATGAAACGGCGCCCAATAAGGAGGTGTTTGAACTGCCGTATAAATGTGATTATGGCTAATAGCTCTCTGCGGAACGTGCAGTAGTTCGCTGAGCCTTCGTCAGCGTGCTACTCGCAAAGTAGACGGGATGTTCGACGCCCTGGGAGTCTGTTTGTGACAATACTGCGCCGATGGCAAAGCCGCTGGCGTCTGTATCGAGGATGAAAGGAGGGGCGTCATGATCGACGTTCGGGAGAGCTAGAAGTGGGGCCGATACGAGGGCGGCACGTAGGTTAGTAAGGGCCTCTTCACATTCTGGGGACCATCTGAATTCCCTACCTTGCTCTGTCAGCTTGTGGAGAGGGCCGGCAATGTGGGCGAAATTACGGATAAACCGTCGTTAATATGAGGCAAGTCCGAGGAAACTGCGCAGCTGCGTCTGAATGGCGGTAGTCGGTCATGTACGGATCTGTTGTAAGCGGCCCGGTAGAGCGGCAATGCGCCCTGGGGAAATCTTATGGCCCAGAAATTGTACTTCTGGACGTAGTAATGTGCACTTGGCCGGGTTCAGGGTCAGGCCCGCATCGCGGAGGGCTTCTAACACCTCTCTTAAGTTGCGGTTGTGTTGTTCAACATCGGGTCGGAAAACGATGATGTCGCTTTGATATACGAGGCATTTGTGAGGGACAAGGTGTCGTAACTCCTGGTACATCAATCGTTGGAACGTGGCGGCGGCGTTACATGGTCCGAAAGGAAGCGTCTGGAATTCGAACAGCCCTTGCGAAACGATAAACGCGGTCTTCGGACGGTCTTTGGGGTCGATCTCGACCTGCCGATATCCGGACTTAAGGTCCAGGGTCGAGAACCAGGCTGCTCCGCCGAGACTATCTAGGGTGTCGTCGAGACGCGGCAAGGGAAATGAGTCACGGACAGTGACGGAATTCAGGCGGCGATAGTCTATGCAGAGACGGAGGGAGCCGTTTTTTTGGGGACTAAAGCTATCGGTGACGCCCATGGAGAGGAAGGCGGCTGTATAATGTGGGCTTTAAGCAGTTCGTCTATGATTTTGTCAACCTCTGCGCGGAACCGTACTGGTATTTGGCGTGGGGGTTGCCAAATAGGCTTCGCGTCACCCGTGTTAGTAGTATGATGAACTTTGCGGGTGCGCCCGATTGTATCGGTTGACCAGGTGAACAACCCGGGAAACGACAGTAGGAGTATATGTAGTTTATTGCGGTTGTCTGACCCGACTGCTTCTGCTGGAGGTAGGTTCGCATCGATGTCGGACAGCTCGAGTTTTGCGGCTGCTACCACGGCGTCGTACATCAGATCGAGGTTCTCTGATGGCATATAGGTGGGGGATCTGGGCGTGTCGGGATTGACAGACGGCGACTCTTGGTATGGATAACGCAATCGTAGTCCGTCAGGAGATCCAACCCTAGAACTAGGGCCCACGGACTATCAGATGTCACCAGGAATGGGTACGTCACCTCTGTGTTGTCCATAGTGATGCCTAGGGTTATGCGACCCAAGATGGGTATAAGGGTGCCGTTCGCGGCACGCAGGGTATGGGTGCCACTCGTGTGGTCGATCAGCTCGTGTAACTCGCGACTGAGGCTAAAGCTGTTCAGGAGGGACACGTTGGCGCCTGTGTCTACTAAGGCTTGTATCTTGCGACCGACTAGTGTAGCGGGAATTGTAAAAGGGGATGGGTGAGACGATATAGCCAGGTAAGTAGGAACAATGGAGACTGACTTACTTGGCTGGTTGTGTCCGCATCGCCGAGCTTGTGGTCCGAACGCTGCGCAATAAGGGACCGGGATTGTGGTCCGGGAATCGCACTGGTAAAGAGGAAGGTCGTCTGTTGAGTGGGGGGGTCGTGCGGGTGGGGCTGTTGGTGCGGCGTGGGGATCCAGTCGCTCTCGAGTGACACTCTTCGTAGAGCCGAATTGCTGAATAGCTGAGGACAGGCTGGCCGGTGGGTGTAACAAGAGTACACCGCTAGCGGTGCTGTCCCTTAAGCTGGTTATGAACTGGTGGAGAATAAACCGGTCGCGGTCACTCTTAGGGAGATTGGTGAAAGCCTTTGCAGCCAGACGTCGAAAGGTCGTATGCGAAGTCATCAACTGATTGGCCGGGCCGTTGTCGTAGCGTGGCGAACCGCTGATTCGCCAAGGCCGAGCCGCAGGGCTGGCGAAGAGTTGCAAGAGGACTTCGGAGGTTTTTTGGAAGTCAGATTTGGGTGTGAGGCCGGCGTCAAACGCTAGCCTACGGGCGTGGAAAGAAAGAAAGCGTAAGAGGCAGCATACGTGTTCATGAGGGGGGACGCTCACTAGGAGGAGAAAAAGGTCTTGGAGCCCCTCTCGGATGTTCTGCCCTGGCTCGTATGGTTCGGGGGCTAGTAGTGGGCTGGGTCCGTAGGTATGT